TTTTGAACGTTTTCTCAACTTTAAACGTGAATTACAACCAAACCGATTAAACCACAAGAATATATGAATACTCGTTACATTCCCCAAACATTCAGCTTTCATATGCATCTTTTGGATCGATTATATATAGGTTGTTGGGTGGATGACGATCGAAGTTGGCCGTGAAAAGTTTTATTTGTTTTCTATATTTAGTTTAATTTCTTTTTTCGATGCGACCCAAAAATACATATATGACTGTTACAGAAAAATAAAATGAATAGAGAAAAGCAAAACGAAATGGAAAACTGAACTACAATAGAAAACGAAAACTTGAGGAAGGAAAAAAAAAAGAATGTATGATGTTGTTGATAATGATGTTGTATTCAAAGCGCGATCGCGGCGACATTGAGAAAGTGCCGAAGGACTTCCGCCGCATACGAAATGCGCTGCGAACGAGAATAGGAAGAAGACGTCTCCACGGTAACGGATATTGTTATTACCATGGTGATAGTATATAATATGTCAAAAGGATGATGATTATGCGAAAAAACATAATTAGCTTTTGTTTTGTTTTTTTGTTTGTTTATTTATATATAGATGCGTGTATATTCTGAAATGGAAAAGAAATTAGAGTTCACTTTCTTCTACATCTCACCGCAAGGATTTGAAGTCGTCAAACATGTGATGGTGATTATAATTTGTGATGACCGCAAGTTTTTTTTTTTGTCTTTTTCTTCTTCGTGTAATGATGATGTTGATGAATAATCTACATGCGTGTATGTAAATATGTGATGGAATGTGTGTATGAGTGAATGAATGAGTGAGTGTGTGCATGTACGTAGTGTGTTCGGCTTTCTAAATACTAAAACAATTAAAGGAATAAAGAATTATGCACACGAATTCGTTACATATATACATTTTTTTATTGTAATTAAATTTTCGCTGACCAAATGCGGCGGGGGGGCTGAAAAGAAAAGGAGAAACTTTTTTTTTAATGTTTGTTTGTGTTTCGATCGACGAGAACGTCCAGAACTTTTGAAACTGGAACGACTCGTCCTCCATTCCATACAATTTCTCGAACTCGCACTCTCCATATAACTCTGTTATCAATGAGAACAAATGAACTAAGTCATACCAATACAAGAAAAACAAAACAAAAACATTTTTGTTTCTTAAACAATTGTTTTTGAAACAAATGAAAAAGAAATCTGTAAAAATAATTGAATGAGAATTTGTTTTTAAACAAATGAAAAATGTTAGTTTTGGTCAAAAAAAAACAAAATATTTAATTAGAATAACAATTTTTGTTTGTAAACAATTGAAAAAAAAATGCAAGATTTTGTTTTAAAAACAAATGAAAAAGTCAAAATTTTGTTTCGTAAAATGTCACATTTCTCATTTTGACAATAGATTTTACGCGGTTATTGTTTTTCATTGTTTGTTTTTGTAAATTTTTCATTTGTTTCCATGGTCATGACATACCTGAACAATCACAGCAAAAAACAAAATGTCATTTTGACAATTGATTTTCGGCTTTTATTGTTTCGTTTTTGGCAAAATTTTTCATGGTCAAGGCTTATACTCGAAGAAAGTTTACGGTTTTTTCATGGTCTACTCGCTTATTCTTCGTACCGCTTAACTTCTTCGCCTCATCGAACGCTCCCGGAACGAAAACCAAATTACATATTTCAAATGCTAATGCGCCAAAAATTTGGAGCGGTTTTCGGTTCTTCACACTCTCATAACTACCCAAAATACCATTTGACCTACAAAAACAAAAGAAAATTTTATGCGTACACACACGAATTTACTAGTAGTAACCTATGCAAATCAACGACATAAGGCATGATTTAGTATTAATTAATTCATCGGAAATATTACAGTTTAGAGAAGATTATCATTTGATTTGAACTCAATTTCTATTCAAAAGCAAATCGTTTCTTGTTTAACAGATAAACTGACAAATTCATACTTATTATTGACAGATGTCAGTCGCAGCAAGAAAACAATGCAATTCTCTTAACGTTGTCATATTGACAGATGTCTTTCATAGCAAGAAAACAATGCAATTATCTTAACGTTGTCATACTGACAGATGTCTGTCGCAGCAAGAAAACAATGCAATTCTCTTAACGTTGTCACATTGACAGATATCTGTCACAGCAAGAAAACAATGCAATTCTCTTAACATTGTCACATTGACAGATATCTGTCAAAGCAAGAAAACAATGCAATTCTCTTACGTTGTCATATTGACAGATGCCTGTCACAGCAAGAAAACAATGCAATTCTCTTAACGTTGTCATATTGACAGATGTCAGTCACAGCAAGAAAACAATGCAATTCTCTTAACGTTGTCAACGCACACTTTGTAAAAGTTTACACTTATAAAATTAATCAATTGAAAATGTATGAATTTAGTTTTTTTACAATTGTGTCAAATTACAAAAACAATTGTTGTGAATAAAAAACAAAAGTTAAAGTAACATGAGGTAAAGTGATTGAAACAAATTTAAAATTGAAAGTGACAGTTGCCATGGTTTTGTCTTGTTTTTTTAATGATTTTAATGGCAAGAAACAAATGGAAAATTGAAATCACGTAGGCCAGAATGCATATGGCGCTTGTAGAGGAGAAACAAAAAAAAATAAAGTTGTCCAAAAAATAAAAGAGAAATTAAGTCCAATTACGATATTGTTAATAATGATAATTGTGTAGTGTGTACTTTTCTTTTTACGCGCGTCGAGGTGGAAAGGATGGTTTTTTTTCGGTGTTAACCAAATCGGGATCGAATATTTTGTACGAAGTTTTTCGTTCCACTTCTGCGACGCTACTGGACCCCTCCAAAACGCCGAAGAAGTAGAAGTAGTAGAAGAAGACGAAAAGGTAAATCGGAGAAGGCTATATCCTCCGACCGTAGCTTCACTCGACGGTAGTAGCAATAAGATCGGTGTGTCCGCAGGTAGCGAAACTACCTTCTACATTGCAACAACCACTTCTTTCGCTCCGGGTCCTCCGAGTCCAAAGCGAGACGGTCAGGTGTTGTTGTTTCTCAGTTCTTGTTCGTCTTCGGAAGACATTGCGTTCAATCGAGTCGAGTCGTCCTCGAAACCGGGTTTTTCTTTAAACGCAGACGCTTAATTGCATTGCATTTTTATCATTAAACAGTGCGTAGAAAGAGTTTTTTTTCTTCTTTATTTCATTTTAAAGACAGATAGACACAGAGAGAGAAAGAGATAGACACCGCCTGCAGACGAAGGAGGAAACGCGGATCTTCCGTTGTTTTCAATTTGTTTTGTTTCGCTTGTCTTCATCGAGATAGGTCAGTTACCACACTTATTTTATTCAACTGTTTCTGTAACTATAGTTTTCACGTAACCATCGATACGCGTAATCGTGTCATTCTGACAAATCAATTAACCAACCACAACTTGACAGATAATTGACAAGTTCGTACTAATTGACAGATGTCACAGTAAAATACAATTGTCAACACACATTTTGCATGTCCAGTTTATACTCATAATTATTAATCAATTGAAAAAAGAAACAATAATAAGAAATCAATTATAAATTTATACTAAGTAATCATTAGTTTTTAATGAATTACGAATTTTGAATTAATTTATTAAGAAATAAAAAATTTCTTTCAATTTTTTTAATTTCTTATTATAATTTAATACATAAAACAAAGAATTACCAAAATAAAAATGTGAATTTAAAACAAAACTAATTTAGAATCAATTGAGACTAGATTTGTATAAAAATATTTTAATGTTTCTATGGCAACAATAATATTGATCATCGAAAAATTGAAACAATATAAAAACGAAACAAAAACAAATAAAAAAAACAATAGAGATGTGCATCTGACCTAAAACAAATGCCGTCCGCTGGAAAATCTTGTACGAATCTCGAATGATTTCCAAACGCGATTTCTAATATATGTACGTATACTTATTATTGCATCGCCGAACACAGAGGCTGTCCAATTAATTTTCCCATCTCTCAATCTTATTTTTTTGGTGAAAAAATTTGAAAATTTCAATTTTTTTAACAAAGATAAAAAATTTGAAGTGAAACAAAAGAAATTGGATACGCGGAATCAGAGCATGCTATGAACGAAACCTTACGAAACCGCCGCATACATAAATTATACAAAATGCGTGTAAGGAAAATATAATATTAATAATAATATAATTTCGCGAAAATTTCCGTGTGAATGTGACGCAATGGGAAAATTGCGGCAACAATAAGTAAAACTAAAAGTTAATGCATTTAATGCGCTTAATTGGTGCGAACGTGCGTGCGAATTAAAGAAATTTCAAATTAAAATTTATAAATCGAAAGCGAAACTTAAACGAGTCTAATTTCGAATTCAATTTTCGCACCTAATTTCTCTCTTAATTTCCCTTTGAATTCCGGACGCGCACAACTTCTAATCGCGTTCCGTTTCATCGGTCTCCGTCCAAAACTCTGTTTAGTTATTTACAATCGTCGTCATCGTCATGGTTACTAATTCCTCGTTTGTTTCCACTCGAACGTTTCTTTCCGGTCAAACGTCTCACGTCCCATTCAAATCGGATGGCATTGTGTTCGCGCCTACACAAAACAAGATCATTGTCACGGTGACAAATTGCATTGCACCGTTTGACGTTTTGATGACGTCTTAATTTGACAGTTGACGTTTTTTCACGTAATTTGACTCTTAATTAATTTGAATATTACGTCAATATTTGACACTATCAGACAACATTTGACGTTTCATAATATTAAAATTGAATTAACTTAAGTTTTAATGTCTTAATTTGACGCTAATGACAACAGTTGACGTTTGTTCACGTAACTACTCTCTTTTAATTTGATAATTACGTCAAGATTTGACAATATCAGACAACATTTGACGTTTGATAATATTCAAATTGAACTAACTTAAGTTTTAATGTCTTAATTTGACGCTAATGACAACAGTTGACGTTTGTTCACGTAACTACTCTTTATTAATTTGACAATTACGTCAAGATTTGACAATATCAGACAACATTTGACGTTTATAATATTAAAATTGAACTAACTTAAGTTTTAATGTTTTAATTTGACGCTAATGACAACAGTTGACGTTTGTTCACATAACTACTCTTTATTTATTTGACAATTATGTCAAGACCTAAACTGTTACCAATGTCAATATTTGACGTTTACAAACAAAATGTATAAAAATATGACATCTGTCAATCATTATGTTAAGTATGTCAAAACTGAAACAAAGGTAAAAACGATTGTTGTTGTGACGTTTGTTCGCGTAACTATTCTTAATTAATTTGACAATTATGTCAAGATTTGAAAATATCAGATAACATTTGACGTTTCATAATATTAAAATTGAACTAACTTAAGTTTTAATGTTTTAATTTTACGCTAATGACAACAGTTGACGTTTGTTCACATAACTACTCTTTATTAATTTGACAATTATGTCAAGATCTAAACTGTTACCAATGTCAACATTTGACGTTTGACTTAACTTAAAACTATCACTATTGTGAATATTTGACATTTGCAAACAAAATGTATAAAAAATATGACATGTGTCAATCAGTATGTTAAGTATGTCAAAACTGAAACAAAGGTAAAAACGATTGTTGTTTGTTGTTGTTATTGGTGTTTAGCACATCTTGAATGTACGATGATGATGAAGAGGTTGTGAAATCCGTTTTCGCTGATTGTTCTTCTCGGCGATAGATGCGATCATTATCGTTTGTGTCCGATGAATTTCACGGCGATCGATCGCCACGCGCTGATTGCGAGGGTGTGCATCGCCGAGGAGGAATCATAACTTCTGCACGTTTAGTGATCGGCCGGGAGTAGAAAGCAAAAAAACCGAGATGATTCGTGGATCCGCGTGAATCGATAAAGTTTCACTCGACATCTGTCGAGTGAAAACTACCGCCGCCTGCTTACATAACAGTTCTTTTTTTTCTTTCTGTAATTTTATTATTATAATTTTAATGTCTATCCCATATGACACACTTCTACTTCTTCGTCTTCGTTTGCTTCTATTCAATAGAATTCTAGAGCCCGGAGCGATTCATGCATATTCATTCCGCTTTTGTACATCTTTTTCAGCATCTTCGAAATGCCGCCAGTCAGATGGAAGTCGAGTCTTTTCCTACCAGCAGGTGAGATACGAACACACAACGGATCCTTTCAGCGCAACGAAAGTCGCGACATCTGCCGTTACAATTAAGATCCTCGTGCATTTTCTTTTTAATTTCCAATTATCCACGCGTCGCTTCATTTAATACAACCGCAATTAAAACAATACTTTGCAATTAACGTTTCCATCATAATCATCCCGTATAATTGCAGCGAAATTAACGATTTAATAGAAAACAACAACAAGAAAAAAAAAACGGGAATTTGACGTTTAAAAAGTTTAATTGATGTATGCAACTTAATAACCATCAACTCAAATAATAAATTTCATTGGCTGAAAGCAATAAATAACTGACATTACGTCAATAATTTAATTATTTATAAACCAGATGTCGCATTAAAAATGTCATTTTTTCAATAAAATACAGTTTTAGCTTGAGTTTCCAACTTTACATATTTAAAATAAAAATGTATATGCAACATGACTGACGTGACTTTAGAAATAATTGCCTAACGTTTGATAATGATTCAATTCAAGTTTCCGTTTCCTGGTTTCTATGAAAGGAAGACCGAAGAAATAAACAATAACAAAGAAAAGTTTTGCATGCATTTAGGCCGAATCGTTATTATTGAGAGCGCGCGCGAACTTTCTAAAGCGATGATTATAAAAAAATAAATAAATTGTTTTGCAGTGTGCATGGTAATTGCGGTCGCAGCGGCGATGGTTTCCAGTTCATCGGCATTGGTACGTTTCAACTATACTGATGATGTTCTTTTTGCAATTGAATGAAAACTGTTTGACAATAGGATTCGATTTCGATGAGCGACGATGGATGGAGGCCGATAATTGGTTCATCGGCGCAACAGTACAAGGTCGAGGAGATCACTCAGTACCGCAACCCGACGAACAAGAAACCGGAAACGGTGAAGGCGGAGCACAAGCAGAAGTTGGAGACTGCGACGAAATCGACGAAGGTCACGTCTACGCAGGTCGCGCCCTCTGGTTTAGGTGTGTGTTCAATTATGATTTATATGGAGTTAGTTTGGTTGCATAATAATGTGATTGCAGGAAAAGTGGGCGGGCACAAGCCGTTGCTTCTGATCCCGACGCACGGGCATCCGCCAATCCCTTTGATGCATCGTCCTGTCAAACATAAGGTGTACCACCATCCAAACAACAATAACAACAACAAAAGACAGAAACCTGTCAGAATGCAGATGCCCTCGTACAGTTCTCGCGACGAAGTCTTCGTGCAAGCACCAAGCGGAAATTTAGGTGCGTACATCAAATGATCATCGATTAGTTTGATTGCATTTTATTTTGTTTTTCAAGGTCATTTCGGGTTTTACAATCAGAAGACGCGCATCCCGCAATCGCACGCCCACATCGAGTTCAACCATTACCCGAACCAGCAGGACGATCTGTACCAGTTCATCAGGAATCCGATTCAGCAGTACGTGATCCCGAAACATCCCATCCAGAACGACGTCCACTACAGCTTCCAGACAGACGAGTTCACTAAACATTTAGTGCCGCCACCGTTCAAGTACGTTAAGGAGAAGGAGAAACCGAAAGAAGAGCAGAAACCGTACCAATTCGTACCTCCACCGCCACCAGCGCCACCTGCAAAACAAGATCCTCAAACAATTGAAGTCCAGGTAACCAAGGAGAAGTTGAACGTGTTCCACAATCAAGTCCCGCAGAACTACAATCCGCAGAAAGAGTACGAGTTCAAGAGACCCGAGTTTCATCATACGCTCAAGGCTCCCGTGCAGATCGAGTATCAAACGATAAAAACGCCGATCGAGTATCAAACTGTCAGAACTCCAATTGACTATCAAACTGTCAGAACTCCGATAGAGTATCAAACTGTCAGAAGTCCGATCGAGTATCAGACTGTCAAATCCGTGGAGTATCATACTATGAAGAGCGTGCCCGTGGAATATCAAACTGCTAAAACTCAGCAGAAGGCAACGTACGAGGTGACGGAAGGTAAATGGCCGGAGGTGCAGCAGAATTTCCAATATCCGTACAGGCAACCCTTCTTACCGACGCCGGTTAAACCGGAAGGCGTCGCTCCCACGCTTCCCACCGACAACGAAGTGTCGACCATCTACAACGCCATCTCTAAACTGAACAAGCAACGCGCAACTGAAAATCCTGTTTATTATAACGTGAAGGAGGTGTCCACGCATTACCCGATCGTCGGAAAGTTGGAGGTGCAGGAGTACCCGACGCGCGTGCATTACAAAAATAAGTTTGAAATCAGCGAGGCCACGACTAGGAAACAATATGATGTAACCACGGCGACGACTAGTACTACGACGTCGACTCCGGCGCCTACTAGAGCGGTGCAAAGGCAGAGGCGTCCGGGTCACAGGAGGCGAAGACCCACTAGTACTACGACGGAAGAGGCTGAAGTTGTTACGGATATTTACGATTCGATGAAGACCGATTACAGTGCGGAAGTGCAGACGGAGAGGTCGTACAGGAGGAGGCCAACTGTTAACGAGGTGTACGATTCTAGCAGTGAGGAGGTGACGGAGAGGCCGCTGCGGAGGAGACCGTTGAGGGTTAGGACAACGACGACGCCTGTTTATGAAGAGGAGGTTGTGACGAGTACGTACAGGCCGAGGCAGAGGAGGCCTAGACCTACTACTGTAACCACAGCTGAACCGACGACGACGGAGGAGATTCCGAAGAACCATAAGGAGTATGAGGAGGATTTGACGCCTTTGAAGTTGACGACGGAGAAGGAATTCCCCGAGAGCTTCGAGAGTCATTTCCAGAAGACGCAGCAGCAAAGCTCGACTGAGGATAGGTATAATTACTACACGAAACCGCCGAGGAGGCCGGTGAGGCTGGAGGAGGTTTCCGAGGAGGCTGAAGAAGCAACCACGAAAGTTTTCGACTTTGAGTTTTTGACGCCGGAGAATGAGGTCGAATACACGACTAGTACGACGACAACGGAAGCGCCAAGAGAGGAGACCACGACTGAAGCTTTGACTACTACAACGACGACAACTACTACAACTCCTCCACCTTCGACGAGTTCTGAGTCAGTTAGGACGAGAGTCCGAGGACGTCCGGTTAAATACGAAAGCGGAACTCGGCCCAGGTTCAGTGTTAAAGATTACAGACAAAGATCCACGACGTCGACGACGACAACCACGACGGAAACCCCGAAGCCCCAGGTGTCTGAAGTCGTCCGGATGCGTTTTCCACTGCGCTCGCGAAGACCCCTCGTAACGACTCCATCGGAAGCGGAAGAAGGTAACACTGAGCGCTCAAAATTCCAACCGAAAGAACCTCGTCACTCCTCGTCCACGCAAGAACCATCGACGGACCGTCCATTCAGAGCTGTCAACACGAGGTTGCGCCCGTTCGGAAGGTACAAATCGACGACGGAAGCTCCCGTCAGCCAGAAGATCTCCATCAAACCGAACATCTTCAACAACTTGAGACGCCCGACACCGATCAGTCTGAAGAACAGGATCATGAATAAGAATAGGACGACGACGTCTGCGCCTGCGACCACCACAGAAAACGAGATCAGCCTCGAAGAAACCAACGAAACGGACATGTCGCAACGCGTCGAATCGACTATACCTTACAGCGTGGACACGACGACGGAGTTCAAGAAGACGTTCGACTTTGAGCCCGAGGAGGAGATTCTCAACGACGAAGATTACATGCAATCGAAGATGGTTTCCGATTTAACGTCGGACGCGAAGAACGACTACAATCGTTTCAGAAATGTCTCACCGGTGAGTCGAAACGTTCCCAATTACTTCACCCTGGCCACCGACGATCCCATCCTTCCCATCGAGGCGTTCTTTCCCAACCTGAAGGAGAAGCAGCAGTAATAACAAAACAAAAAAATTGTGATTCCCGAAAAACCTTTTCCAAAGCAGTATTTTTTCTTTTTTTTTTTTTCTTCTTAGAATGAAAGTGAAGTGAAAACGCATAAACATTAATTTATTTATTATTTATTACTATATATTTATATTTATACATATAGACTTATTATATATACGAAACAAAACTGAAAAACTTTAATAATCGAATGTAATTTATTTATTATTATTATCGAATCAAATATATTTATTATTACAAAATTAAATCCATTTCGATGACATCAGTGCAGCCTTGGTTGTCATATGCATTTCCTTAGACAATTGAACTACAAACAAAACAATCATTGACAGTACCAACCTGGCTATATGAAATACATCAACTGTCAAATTGTACTTACAAATCTTGTGCTGGCCTTGCATTGGATAGAATACCGGCAATATTATCGGATTCGAACAGATCAGAACGTAAGGAGAATCGCTCTCTCCATCCGGATACTTTTCCCTGTACGCGCTCTGCTCCAGGCAATCTTCAACGAAAACGCAACCCAACAGACACCCGGTCGGGTACTTCTTGGGAAACTTGATCGTGTCATCTGCAAAAACAACGCAACTGAAGCTGTCAAAAATTGTTTTTTGTTGTTGTTGCGTAGTTACCATTGTAGATTACTCTGTACATCTCCTCGCACGTTAGAATATCCTCGTCTTCCGGTTGCTTAGCACCGGCCGCTATCCACAAGCGACCTCTATGATCCGTCCTCCAAGTTCTACCTTCGTGTCTTCAAAGATCAATTATTAATTTTTTTAAATTATAAAACATTATTAACTTAATTTCGCTTACATCTTGATCCCGGCCACTAGAAGACTAGCCCAAGGCTGATGCATACTGAGACACATCCCTTGATCGACGCTCTCCAGAAACTCGCTGTTGGCAATCCTGTATTTCCTCTGCGTTTCCAAACCTTTAGCTTCATCCTTCCTCTGCTTCGTCGTCGCTTTGTTAATGGCACCGCTCCTCTGACCCATCAAACTCACGATTTCCGCGATCAACTCCGCCTTTTCACCGTCGAACAAATTCTTCGGAAATCTACGATCCGCGTTATCCAGCAGCTTGTTAACACCGGCGAGCATCTTCTCGTGATTCTTCTTCTGATCGTCATCGTTGATGGTCACGGTTCTGCTCGCAAAATCCAACGCCAACTTGAAATCCTTCTTCGACTTGTGCAACATCTCGCGCGCCCCCCTGTACTGCCGCCGCGCACCGTCCTTCTCCTTATCGTTCAACCACTTCGAGTTCAGATCGAAGTAATCGTTTTGATCGTCGAAAACTTTGTTCTTCGTCGCCCTTCACAAAAAAAAAATTAAAACAAATCTTAAGTAAACAATGAAAATTACCCCATCTGATCAGTCTGCAGTAAACGATTGCGATTCTCCAAAGCCTGCTTGAATTCCTTCGTCTTCTTCTGCTCCAACAAATGATTCCTGAACTTATCGGACTCTTTGGTTTTCGCATTCAGCAGCGCCATCTCTTGCCTAGTACACACCTTACAAAATTATTATTGTTAAAACGTTACAACCGTGAGAAATACTTCAATATTACCATGTTATCACAGAAGAGGCAAGGACCAGAGCCTTCTTGTTCGCAAACAATCCTTCCGCATTTTGAACAATTGTTGATCAAGACGTGTTTACTCGCTTGACAATTACATGGATGACGACCTAAATTATTCATAAACAAAATTCAATTGAATTCCTTTCATTTTCCAAATCCATAGAACAATTTTTTTTTTGTGAATCACCCTGTATATACGTAATCTTATACCTGTCAAATTCATTATAAACTAATTGACAGATAAAAACTAATTGACAGATAAACACTAATTGACAGATGAAATGTTGACAAAAGTTAACTTTAAAAGAATAATTTCATATGTAATTAATTATTAAATAAATTAATGAATTGAAATAAAATTTACCTTTCCTTAAACCAGGTTTATTATCGTAACTGTAAAAATTGGTGAATTTCGTCTTGTTCCCCTTGTTGTTCCCTTTACCACCACCTGCTGAAGTTGATGATGATGTTGAGGGGGCAAGAGGAATCTGCTCAGAGATTCTTTCTTTACCCTTCGTTTGGCTCCTCTGATTTTGATTTTTTTTACCACTCTGTGTCTTAAACAACACCATCTTCAACTTATTGTACATCTGTACATGCATTCGATTTGAAGTGTCGACAATGTTTTCCATGAAATCATCATAGTCTTCGACTGTGTTAAATGTGGAAATGTACCTGAAACAATTATTAAAAAAAAAATGTAAAAAAAACTACTGTATAACTAAATTATAACAAGATTATTAACTGTATAATATCATCGGACACATCATCATTCAATATAGGACTTAAATATTCTTTAATGCAATTCATTTTCTCCATGATTATTTGAGCACAATATTGTGAAACACACTACTTTTGACACTTTGCACAATAATAATAAATGGAGTGTAGGCAACACAATTTACGTTACGTAACTTAAACGTCAAATGTATAAGATTACGTAAAATTACGTTTTTTTACTTAATTTTAAGATCGATAACTAGAAAAAAGTTGTAAATATAATAAATATCAAATAATATTGTAAATTTGTTTATTTAATTAAGAATTGTTAAATTTCTGAGTTTTTTTTCATATCATCATAAATTTTATAATAAATGATAATTACTAATTTTGATTAATTTATGTTCTTTGTAATTTTAGATAAATTAGATTATTGAATTAGTATGTATAAATTTGGATAAATAAAAAGTTTTTTTTAGTAAATGATAAATAAGTTGCATACATTGCATAGAAGTTGGAAATTTTATTTGGATGAATGGGTTTAAATAGATTCGTTACATAAGTTTTAATCGTTTATATATTGAATAATTATTATATAGTACAGATATTGCGTAAATAAATAAATTTCTATTAAAGCTGCGAAAAGGTATAAATTATTATGTTTCTTGTTGTTGCGAAACAATAACGAACTGCGATGTGCGTATGTATTTTACGTATTGCTAATCCACAAATATTATAATAGTGTTTGGAAACTTCAGAAGTTTACAGATTCGTCAACTTGCCTACTTGGTAGATTCAAATACTCGAGTATTTTCAAAATACAAATACATTCGATGCTAGTTTCTCGATTATACAGATACATTTCACTGCTCGTTGCTATAGATTAATTGAATTGTAGTGAAATAATTGTTATGTTAACCTAAAAAAAATATGACGTATTAGTTTAATAAATTATCTGTCAATTATGACGTATTACTTGACGTATGTCACGTAATTTAGGTTAAAGGTCGAGTTTGAAAGTAGCCGAGTAATGAAATAAATTGAATACTATACAATATAAATCCCATTTTGCTTAATATATAAATACAAATAATTTCTGTGTTACAAATAAATAAAATATAATAATATATATGTATTGCGTTGAATGTCAGGAAACGATAAATTGAATAAATGTCTATATAAATCTTGGAAGTCGTACATATATAAATATTGCATATAGTATATATACTTATACTTAAATATATAAATATATCGCTTATCACATCAATAGTAGGATTTTAAGGGGGTTCGAAAACAAAAAATAGTCTAGCTGCGTCCTTAACAACCAACAAAACAAAAGACGAAAGAAGGTCGATTTAACCATCGAATAAGTTAAGTATTAATACTGCACTGCTACGTAGAAGATACTCAAAAAAAGAAAAACAAAAGATGAAACAAACAAATAAACAAAAGAAAGAAAAAAAACACCATAATAATCTCATTTCGTTAATTAAAAAAAAAATAATAAAGAGAAGAAGCTGTTGCTCTCTAAACGTTGTTCCCGTTGTTGAGGTTCAAGTTGGTGAGTTCTGCGGAAATCTTGCTTCCTTCAAGCTGCTGCTGATGCCTTCCGGTTTTGTCGAAGATGCCGGAAAAGCATCGGGCCTAAAACAGACGAAGCAAATGAAGAAAATTTTTGGGATTTTTTTTGTTGTAAATGTAAGTTTATTTAATCTAATCCTAATACAGTTAGTGTTCAGTTTGGATTGTTAACTTCCTTATAGCCTGCTCGCCTAATTCGTAGGAGACCGGATATGAAAGCCTGGAAAAACATAGGTATGTCGTTGCCATGGAGTTTAGGTTGTTTGATAACAAATAAGGCGGTGTGTACTTACGGTGATGATGGCGACGGTGGCGCCGAGGGTGAGACCACCGAGAACGTCCGACCAGTGATGTTTGTAATCGGATATCCGGCTCATCGCGACGGCCACTGACGAGAGGACCGCCAAGAACTGAACGGCGTGCTTCAGGATCTTCGTGTTGCTGCAGGAATGCCATCTGGCCTGCAGGTAGAGCGCGAAGTAGAGCATCGTGTACATGGAGAACGAACTGTGACCGGACGGGAACGACAGTCGCATCTCCTTCAGTTGACGCTCCGTGCCGCCGGTGCACCGGTAGTCCTCCACGTACCTGTGGAAGTTCTTGTCGATCTTCTCGCATGTCATCCCGTTACCGAAGACCGGCTGACAGACCGTGTAGAAGTGCGGTCTCAGTCTTCCAACCATATACTTGATGATGTCGGTGCTCAGTTGCGAGAAGGCCATTCCGAGGAGTAAGAACGCCGCCGAGCAGTAGATCTGCCACAGGACGTTCGGAACTTTCCTTCCCCAGACCACCACTTTGCTGCCGTTGTCTTTTCGGCATCTGATGATCTCCAACACGACAATCTGAAACATCAACGCGATGACGTTAATCAAGTGACAATTAAATAGTTGACATGTGTTATTGATTAATTGTCAAATTATTGACATGTGTCATTGATTTATTATCAAATTAATGACATGTGTCATTGATGAATTGTCAAATTAATGAGATGTGTCATTGATTAATTATCAAATTAATGAGATGTGTCATTGATTAATTATCAAATTATTAACATGTGTCATTGATTAATTGTCAAATTATTGACATGTGTCATTGATTAATTGTCAAATTATTGACATGTTGACATTAACTATTTGTCAAATTATTGACATGTGTCATTGATTAATTTTCAAATTATTGACATGTGTCATTGATGAATTATCAAAT